AAATGGCAAAACACTCCAGTATCTTTGCCAAGAAAACCCCAAATGGGGTCACAAAGAGTTGGACACAACTGAAACAGTTGAACAAGAGGAAAGACTACAGACACATGGATGAAATATAGGCTGATATTCCAGAATTACTGTCCTCAAATTACTTCATCCCCTTGAAGATGCCATTGCCTCAGTTTCCTTATTTCTAAAGTCTCTTTGTATTCTTAAAATTACGCTATCTTATGATTACCAAAAGAATATATGGCTATCTAATGCTGAACAAATGACATTTATCAAAGGGATCATAAATTTCAAGCTAGAAGGAACTGCAGAGGTGAATTTGTACAACCCCCTTGTTTTAGGGGGTTTAGAGGGAAGGGAAGCCCATAACGATTAAATGAGTAGCTTCAAGGCCACACTGGTAGTGATTCAGGAAAGGATCTGAATCCCTCTGCTTAGGCTCCAAATCCAGTGATGTTCCATTGTGTATACTGCATGGCCTCTTACTGAAAGATGGCCAACAAAGGGTGGGTTCTCTGTGGGTCTCTCATCAGGTGCTTGGGTAGAAATCTTACTTTTGAATAGAAAATTGATAAATGAAAAGAATAGTTTATTATGCTACATGTAACAAACAAGTCTAAAAGGTAAGAGAATGACTACAGAGAAATGACTACATTTCCCCATCAAATTATGAACCCTAAACACATAATGAAATACCATAAAGAATAAAGAGGTGGTATTGTGGAATAATGGATAAAGTGCTGTGCTTGGAGCCAGGAAGATCTTATTTCAAATTCCACCTCACTTAATCTCCCTAAGCCTCAGTTTCCATATCTGTAAATAATATAGGTAATAATACCTATACTATCTATTTTGAAAAGTTGTTTTGAAGCTCAAATGAAATATATGCAATTTAATTCAGTAAACATTTATTAAGTGCCTGCTAGGTGTCAGGCACTATCTAAGTGCCAGGATACAAAAAAAGATAAAAGACCATCCTTGCTTTGGCCGCTTACACTCTAACGGGAGAAACAAGATACAAACAAATATATACAAAAAGAGGCAAAAGACATACTCAGCCTTCAAGGAGCTTACAATCTAATTGGGGAAAACAACACAGGAAAAAATATATATAAAGCAAGCTATATACAGGATAAATAAGAAGTAATTGAGGGAGGGAAGACATTGGAATTGCACTTACAGGAGGGCAGGGAGGTCAACAGTCAGTGGAGGGCAGGGGACAGACTTCCAGGCATGGGGCACAGCCAGGGAGAATATGATTTTTTAACTTTAAAGTGATACATATCTAAAGGTCAACATTAAATTCTATAAATGTGACTTATAATGAAAAGGCATTAGTGGTGACTTCTTAGTGGTAGCTAACATCTTGCACAAAGAAAGTATTTAATAATAGTATCTTAAGATTATAGATTTAGAGTTGGAAGGGACCTCAGGGCTCATTAGTTAAATACCTTCCTTTTCCAGATGATAAAACTGAGGCCCAGAGAATGAACTTGACTTACCCAAGGTCACAAAGGTAGCTAAGAGATGTGATCTGAAATTTAGGACTCTGGCTTCAAATCTATGCACTCTTGAGGAGAAAAAAAAGAAGCAATAGAGATTAGTCCAGTTTCTAGTCTTAAAGTTTTGTAATTAATCCTTTTCACAAACATCATTGTTTTTAATGAAGAAATAGCCTGGAGCAGTGGAATGAGCATAGGATTTAGAATCCTAGGTGTTTCCTTTTCAAATCTTGGCTTTAATACTACCTCTAGGCAAGTCATTTCACTTTCCTGGGCCTCAAATTTCCTCATCTGTAAACTAAGGGTATTATTAGCCTCAAAGACCTCTGAGATTCCTTTTCTGCCTATAAGCAAAAGATACGCAAATCCACATAAGGGAATTTGGAATATGCTGCATTTTAGGGCACAGATGTATTTCAGAAAAGACGTGGCTAAATTTCATATTTTGCAAATTGAATCAAGTCAAATTCATCAAGGAAGTTCTTCAGCCAAAGGAATTTTCTTGGTACTCATTTTGTTAAGCGAATAATCACTACTAACGCCATTTTTTGGGGGGTAAAAGTAAATTTTTGCATGTTAATTGGCTTAAAGTCAGATACCTACAATGTCTTTTGGATCGCTGTAATGCTGCTAAATTCAGTTCCATTTTGCACTTCATAATATCCAAATATCTGATAAAGTTTCCTAAAATAAACTTTCACTTTAAAAAAAAAATCAATTGACAAAAGTTCTTGTGCGTGACAGGACAAAAAATACAAGCTTGTTTTCTACATTCCAAGACTGTTAGAATCAAGAGTCAACAACTCTGGTAGACTGAGTACTATGGGTAACAAACATAGCTCCTCTCCCTTTCCTGAAATTCAAAGGTATGTACTTAAAATCTGCTTTCCTACCTACCCCAAGCTCTGCACTACAAGCCATGACTTTGGTAAGCTTGCTATTGTCACAAATGTGTCTCTCATTCCAAAATTATTCTCATCAGGTCACCGAAATGTTTACCAGCTCCTACGGAAATAGCATAATCTTGACACCAAGATCTAAAAGGCTCCATCGCTTCATTTCTGATCTGAAACTTTTTTTTTCATTTCCCTTTGTCCCCCTAACTCGGGCACAGTTCATTTCCCACGACTACAAATAGTCATATCTATAAGAAAGTATTCCCAAACCTCAACTAATGACCTACTTATTTCAAGTAACATCCTATTCAACAAAATTTCAGAAGAATGGTACACTGGACTTTGTTGTTAATAGGAGTTAACCCAGAATTCACAAGAAAACAGTATAATTGTTTGAACTCTTTTGAATTATTCTTTAGGGACAGGACAAACAGATACACAGAATGTAGAAGGACTTAAATATAATAAAGGAGAAGACAATAAAAAAGAAGTTACATTAAATAGTCAACAATAATTCCCTTCTAACCAAACATATTACTAACTACTTACTAAGTAAGATACTAAACACTCTACAGAGGAAAGAAAAAAGTCTGGCCTCCAAGAAGAATCTGGATAGAATCTGAGTTCTTGAAGGGTACAGTATACTCACTCTAGGTGAGAGGAGCCACATTAAGAGAAAATACCATTTGATTTAAAGATAAGGAAACAGAAAGCTGTCTCCTAATTACTACTATGAGGTAGTTAGCATTTTAAAAGATGTGTGTGTGTGTGTGTGTGTGTGTGTATACACACACACACACACACACATATATATATATATACACATATAAAATCTTATTTGATCTTCCCAACAATTCCAGTAGTAGGTGATATTATTATACCTATTTAACAGATGAGAAAAAGAGGCTGAGAGAGGTACAGGATGAAAGCAGCTAAGTGGTACAGTGAGAACTGGGCCTTGAGTCCAGAAGACCTGAGTTCAAATACAGCATCCAACACATACTAGCTGTGTGACCTTGGGCAAGTACTTTTGCTTGCCTCACTTTCCTCAACTGTAAAATGGGTATAATAGCACCTACCTTCCAGAGCTGTTGTAAAGATCAAATGAGAGAATAATCGTAATGGACTTAGCACAATGCCTGACATAAAATAGGCACTATATAAATGTTAGTGATGATGATAATGAGGAGGATGATGATGATGATGATAGAACTTGCCCAGTGTCACACAGGTAAATAAGCGTCTGAGGCAGGATTAGAACTCAGATTTCCTGATTTTAAATCCAGCATCCCATCTATCATGCCATCCAGCTGTTATCACTAACAAGCTGTTTTTAATTATAACTTTTTATTTGGTCCAGATTCTATGATTTAATTGGGTTGGGTACCTTACCAATGAAGGTCTTTAACTGTTCTGCAATGTAGAGTCTTAGAGTGTTGGAATGAAAAGTTAAGTGACTTTCCCAGGGTCACACAGTCATTATGTGTAAGACAGGGAATTTGAACCCAGGACGTTGGCTTTCTATCTACTATGCAAACCTTCTTTTCAGCATAATTCAATCAAATTAGGTTGTTCCTCCAGCCTAACTTAATTATGACCTAAACTTAATTACAAAGTTACCTACCTGGTGTTGAAATAAAGCTCCTTGATGACTTTGTCCCCATTTGGGAAAGTATACTTCTGTCATCAAAATTTTGCAACATATGGCATTTTGCTGACATACTTCCCAACTCCAAAGCTCAGGTCTCCAGGCCCCCTTAGTCTTCATTTCTACCTCCTTTCTAATGAAGACAAGATATACATTTTATAAACTTAAGCCCTACTTCAACCCTTTTATTTATTTCTCAGGTCTGAGACCTCTTCAGGGAATTTTTACCATTCCTTTGCTTTTCTCAGGACCTTCAAAACACATTTTCAAAATAACAGAACAGCTTTTAAACGAGGTTTACATAAATCGTTTCTTCAGTTTTCTGGATAAGGGAACCAATTCAGAGGTCTCAAATAACTTGTGGTCACACACAGAACAGACTAAAACTAAGATCTCTTGGCATATAACATATTGGGGTCTTCCTAAAACATCAGCTTGCAACCCTATCATATCACTCCCTACATACGATAGCAGCATTAACTGAATTAAAATATAAAGAGTGCTGTGTAAATTTTAAAGCACTATACAAATGCTAGTTATTATAATTGTAAGGATTCTTGCTTAAGGTAGAGGCTGAACTAGATGATTTCTCTAAGGTCTTATCCAAATGAGAGATTCTATGATTCTGTAGTTCCTAATCTAGGGCTTAGAACCATTCCCATTTCCATCCCCACCCCTCATTTCTCTCTCTCTCTCTCTCCCTCTCTCCCTCTCTCCCTCTCTCTCTCTCTCTCTCTCTCTCTCCTCCCCCCACCCCCTCTCTCCCAGGTCCCTTGGGCAGTTCCACAGACAGACTGGATAAACAGATTGTAAATCAATGCCATTCCCATTTGGCACTTGTCTGCCCTTCCAAACAGACATCAGGTCCAGGCCTAAATGGCAATTTGGTGCCCATTTGCTTCTTCTCTGCTTCCTAACACATGTTATAAATAAGCACATGGAACTGCTGACTTAGTCAGCCTGTATACTTAAAATTGGAATGATACAGAGAAGACTAGCATGTCCTCTGCACAAACTTAACACCCAAATTATAACCAGAATTTTGGGCTTTTTTTTGGTATTGTTTTGTTTTTCTCAGTGAAGGAGAGAGGAGGTGGGAGAAATATAACACAGCTCTTCATTTACAAACAAAATAAGATGTAATTAAAAATAATTGAGCACGTAAAGAATTTTTTATGTTATTTAGGTAAAGAAACAAAGGCACTTCTGAACATTTCCCTCTAATACAGAGAATTATAATATGCATCTTTGGTTAATTTTCTCATAATTATCTACAATGAAAGAAAAATAGTCAAACTGATGACCTTAGAATTAACGGAAATCTTGGTTTTTCTGGGGTCTGTCTGGTTGGATTCAGATAACCATGTCTGCATGGTTTCCTTGGAGTCTGTATCTGAATATTCATGAATGTTTCCAAGAATTCTAGCTACCAAGGCCAGATGTTCCCTTGAAATTAATTGTCCTTTTCAAAGTACTTCCATGGCAACTATAAAGATAATGCCAGCCAGAAGAAGCAGCAGAAGCCACAGAGATCCACAACTTCAGAAGGCAGTGTTACTGAGATGATAACAGCAATGCTCATATCCAGCATTTATATGGCACATTAAGGTTTTAGAGTGAGAGGCTTGTAAACTGCCATTTTACTCATACTCTCTTGGCAAACAATGCACTGAAGACAGAGTGAGCAAACAATGTGAGATAAAAATAAGAGCAAACACTACCTGTATCTAACTCCTGGGTAGAGAGGTATGGCCAGGACAATCAGGATCCCAGATTTAGAGCGATGAGGGGTCTTAGGGACCCTCTAGTTCAGTCTCCTTATTTTACAGATGAGGAAAACTGTGGCCCAGAGGGAAGTGACTTGCTTAAAGTCAAATAGGTAGATGTATGGGAGCTGGGATCTGAACCCAAGACTGAACTCTTCATCTAGCATTCTTTCCATTTCACCACTCTTTTCTTTCCCCTTTAACTGCCTTCTGGGGCAGCTAGGTGGTAAAGTGGATAGAGCACTGGGCTTGGAATCAGAAAGACTCAGCTTCATGAGTTCAAATCCATCCTTAGGCACTTACTAACTGTGTGACCTCGGGCAAGTCACTTAACCCTGTTTGTCTCAGTTCCTCATCTCTAATATGAGCTAGAGAAGGAAGTGATAAACCACTCCAATATCTTTGTCAAGAAAACCCCAAATGGGGTCACAAAGAGTCAGACACAACTGAAAAGGACTGAACAACAACAATAACCCATAAGATCATTATTAATTAACACTTAACTATCTCTTTAAGTTGAATAATCCTTGTTCATTTCACCACTTCTTCTCTATAGGCCTTAGTTTCCAATTTTTAACTTCTGAACTCTCTTAAGTGCTAAACTTTTCCCACTTTAAGTTGTGAAGCAACTTTACAAAGAAAAAAAAAGCCTTGATCCAGGACAGAGACTTGACCTAGGAAAAATCATTGTCAATAAAATGAATGAATGAATAACTCATAACAGTTCCTGAGTTTTTTAATACTTCCATAATTACTTTCATAATATGATCAAGTAAAATAATAAATGTATGTGAAAATACGTTTAATTGGAATGCATATGAAGAGCCTATAACAGACCGCAACGCCATCTTGGGGAGGGAGGTGGAGAGGGAGGAGGAGAAAATTCAAAACTCAAAAGCTTATGGAAGTGAATGCTGAAAACTAAAAATTAATTAATTAATGAAAAAAAGAAATAATATATGTAAATGTGCTTAGCCCAGAGCCTGGCACATGGATAGTACTACAGAAATGCTTGTCCTCTTCCCTCCTTTCCCCAGCACTTCATTTCCTAGTGTGCTAGATAGTGAAGTGGAAAGAGTCTAGGACTTGGAGTTGGGAAGACTTGAGTTTGAATCTTGTCTCAGACATTCCCTACCTGTGTGACCCTGGACAAGGCACTTAACCACTCTATGCCTTGTCTCCTCATCTGTAAAATGGGAATTATAATAACACCGACCTCACGGTGGCTTAAATGTAAAGTGTTGTGCATATCTTGAAGTGCTATATTAATGCTAACTACTAATATGATATTATTATTATTATCCTACTGAACATAGGCTCACAATATAGAAGAAAAATATTTTTGAACTAGGTAAGTGGCCTTAGGACTTGAAATTCTTAATGAGGGCATTCTCAAGGAAGTAGCACAAAGACAACACTAGTAGGGCAAGGCGGAAGCTACAGTTTCCATAATCAGTGTTAGGATTTATGTGAGAGATTGTATCGCATGTTGTATAGAGCAGTAGACTTGGTATCAGGAAAACTTGGGTTGGAATTCAGCTACTGACACTGACTAGTTGTTTTGCTCCGCTGAGCCCTATCCTGTGAAATGGGAATGATAAGACCTGTAATACCTACCTCACAGAGTTACTGTGAGACTCCAAAAACATCACATATGCAAGACGCTTTGTGAAACTTCAAGTGTATGTGATTTTATTCTTTGCAAGGCCCAGGTTATTCCAATACTTGGACAATACACAAAGTCACCATGAGCCCCATAGGTCAAGGATCCTTCACTGTGACTTTATCCTGTATTTCTTTTGCCCAACACGATAGTTAACCACTGACTGAACATATATCTTGTAATAATGGGCCAAGACACCTCTTCCCAGTATGCTTTTTTAAAAATGCTATTAAACAGTCTTAATGAAAAGTTCAACACTGTAATTTGCTCTCTGGTTCTTTTTTTTTTTAATCACTCTTAAAATATAACTTTATTTAGAAACTATTTAAAGTAGAAAAAAAAACTCTGTCAAGAAAGAACAGGTAGAATACAGTTTTCCAGTAAAATGGAATTTTTAGGGCAACAAAAGTCTAAAAGGACACGAGAGAAATAGCACCACTGTATTTTAACAATGGCAAGTTACCTGCATTTTGGGCATTATTATTATTATTATTATTATTTTTATTCATTGAATTTGGGTTTTCCTCAGAATTCCACATAGATCATGCACTACATAACAATTTTATCATAAATGTTCACCTTCTATATACATTTTAGGACACCAAAACTCTGGTCCTTTCAAAGCCTTTACAATGTCAATCATTCTTAGAGGATCATAATTTCAAGTTAGCTAACTTTCCAAATGCTATTTCTGCCCCCATGTGGTTTATTAAGTCATCAATTTTCAGAAAAATACAGGGAAAGGAGATTATGTATGAAAATCAATGCACAAACATTCATTAAATGCTTACCATATGCCAGTGCTAAGTGCTGAAGATTAAAAAAAAGTCAAAAACAATCCCTCCAGGGAAAATACTTTGAATTTCTCTTACTATAGATATACAGTTGAAAAGGACCTCAGGTCATCTAAGTCCTGTCATCAGATTCTACAGATGCAGAAAATGAAGCTGAGAAAAATTAAATGGCTTGGCCAACATCACATATGTAGTGCATGGCAGAGTCACAATTCAAACCCAGGTCCTCTGACTCAAAATCCAGTGTTCTTCCCACTGCCTCCTTCTCAAGTCTTATCAATCTGTCACCTTAACCTTCAGTGACATATCACAGAAAGCTCTTAGGAAGATTTTGAGAGCGATCCCTCCTCACTTGGGGAATAGTAACTAGTGAAATGACTGACAAGAGTGCTAAGTACTTTTTAGTGGTGGCAAAAATAAATAAAATCTAAAATTTAAACAAAAAAGTAACTATCATTTTTTATTTTTTAATTTAATTTTTATTATTTTTTTTTAGTAACTATCATTTGAGGAAATAGCTGAACAAATCATGGTGTTTAAACGTATAATTCAGGCTTTGCTTGCTCCCAGGATCACAACTGTGGAGATCTGGTCAGGTAGCGCTAATTACTTTAGCTCCTGGGTCAGACAGTCCTATAGGAGGTTCCCTCCAGCCACTAGTTTCTTTTCCCAAACTCCCTCAAGAGCAATAATTACCATAAGAATCTGAGGAATTCTGGGTAGCCTGCTCAGCCCCCAGGCAGAGATACCTGGTGTCTAACAAGTTTCACAGAATTATAGCTGAAGGGGGCTTCAGAGGGCACTGAATTCAGCTTCTTCAATTTACTAACCAGGAAATTAAGGCACTGAATGATTAATGACCTGCCCAGGGTCACATTCAGCTAATAATTAGCTGAGACAGGATCTGAGCAGGATCTATCTTACTGATTTCAGGTCTAGTGTTCTGACCTCTGCTCTAAGCTGCCTTTCCATGCCTATTATTAATCACCATGGAAATGTCTCCTCTAAGAGTGGGCTAAGTACAGGTTACAAACCGTAGTAGCATAGTACTGCACCTTAAGAAACAAAGATGAGCAATTCTGAGGCCTGAATGAATTGATACAGGATAAGACAAGGAGAACCAGAAGAATAACATACATGAATATGATAGAGTCAATGAAAATAATATTACAAGGCAGTCAATTCCTGACTAATTGTAATGACCAATCTTGGCTCTGGAGAATAAACAATAAAAGTAATAGATGACATGTATGTAGCACATTGAAGTTTACAAGGAGATTTATGTACATTATCTAATCTGATCCTCCCAACACCTCTTCCAGGGAAGTGATATTACTATCCCTGATTTACAACTGAAGAAACAGACTCAGGAAGGTTCAATTATTTGTCCAGCATGACACAGGTGATAATGGTCCAAAGCAAGATCCAAGCCCAGACCTTCCTGACCCTATTTACTATGCCACCTCTGATGAAATATAGCTGCTGGACTGACATTTCTAAAATGCAGATCTGGCTAGGCCTCAGTTTCCTCATTTGTTAAATAAGGAGGCTTAAGTATTTGTCTTCTGAGGTTACTTGCAAAGTCTTTAATGGTTCCTCCTTAACTCTAGAATAAAATACAAACTCTTCTGTTTGATATTTAAAGTCCTTCACAATATGCCTCCAGCCTATCTTATTACACACTTCTACATTCAAGTCCAACTGACCTGTTTGCTGGTTCTCCTACATAACAGTCTCTCTCATCTCCAGACTTTTACCAAGGCTTTCCCAGATACCTGGAATTCTTATCCTCCTCACCTCTACCTTTCAGAATCCCTAACTCCCTTCAAGGC